CCACCCGCCGTGCATGAGTTCTGGGATCAGGTGCCCAGGGGTGGTGGGTGCCCCGGAAGTCCCGAGGAGACACGCCCCCTACCGGAAGTGGTGCAGAGAGCCCCGCCCACCGCCTCTGCACCTCAGGAAAACAGCTCCACCGTCGGGTGGAAGGTGGTGGGCCCAGGGGGTCGTCTCTGGCTGTGGACACAGCCTCAGTCTCTCCCCCACGTGGCCCCTCCCTCCCCTCTCCTTCCCCCTGCCATCACTCACCGCCCCTCTCCATGCAGGAAGAACTGGAGCACCTGAACCAGGCCAGCGAGGAGATCAACCAGGTGGAGCTTCAGCTAGACGTGAGTGTCTGTCCGGGTGGGGACTGGAGGAAGAGGAAGGGGCATCCCGAGACCCACGTGTCGTCCCTTCTCCAGGAGGCCAGGACCACCTACCGGAGGACCCTGCAGGAGTCCGCCCGGAAGCTCAACATGCAGGGCTCCCAGCTGGGCAGCTGCATCGAGAAGGCCCGGCCCTACTATGAGGCGCGGAGGCTGGCCAAGGAGGTGCGGGCTGCGACCCCTGGATGGGGCGGAGCCTGCCGAGACCAGGCTCGGTGCAGGCGCTGCTGGTGTTGTTTCTCCATCGGTGGTGCTGGGGCTCAAATCCAGGCCTGCGTGCCGGTCAAGTGTTTACTCCGAGGCGCGCCCGGCCCCCCAGCTGGTTCCCGGGCCAGGCCGGCCTTGGGGGTGTCTCCTGTGGTCAGCTCCTCGGCCATCCTACTCCTTCGTTTTTCGGTTTCCCCCCTCTCCTCTTCATTTGATTTTTGACCCTTCTTTTGCTTAACTCTCCCACTTAACCTCCCAGTCACCACGCAGGTCTGATGCATGTTATGCCAGGGATTATTTAATGGGGTGTGGCCGGGGCCTGGGACCCCAGACCAGCACCTGAGATTTCAGCCGGAGCTGTGCCATGTCGCGCAGGGCCACGAGGGGGCGCCCTTGGGCCGACGGAGGTGGTGGGTGCCTTTGGGCTCCTGGCCACAGGGCAGGACTCTGCCTACATGGTCGCGGCCCTTTCCCCGTGGGGTCCCCAGGGCTCCCACCCTGCACCCTGATGTGCCCCGCGCCGCTCCCCAGGCGCAGCAGGAGACACAGAAGGCGGCGCTGCGCTATGAGCGGGCCGTGAGCATGCACAACGCCGCCCGCGAGATGGTCTTCGTGGCTGAACAGGGCGTCATGGCTGACAAGAACCGCCTGGACCCCACGTGGCAGGAGATGCTCAACCACGCCACCTGCAAGGTGAGCCTCCCCGCTGCCCGCCTTGTGGGGCTGAGGCTGATCCCGCGTGGCTCAGGACCTGGGCTGTGCTGGGCGGCTGGGCCATGGTGCTCACACCTATGTGGTGCAGTTGGGGGTCTTGGCTCTGCGAGGGGTGTGCGCCTCGTTTTCTCGGTGTTGCACTTACTGCACAGTTAACAGATAATATCGCCCTGTGGCCCAGTGTGTGGTGGGACTCTGTGCTGTCCTACTTCGGAACCAGGGACCCTTGGCCAGCCAGGCTCCTTTCCTGTCAGCTGGGAGCTTTGCTGTGTGCCTTGATTTCTGAGGTGCAACTTACGTATGGTCTCCAAGGTCAGAAAGCCTGCGAGGGCCTCCAGCTCGGGTTCCTCTCATCTTCAGCCACTCCTGTGGCAGCCAATCCGGTCCCGTGTCCCTGTCCCCCTCCAGCACCCCACCCCTGCGCTCTGTGCAAGACTGGGGCCTGGGGTGCAGGGAGGAGAGCGCTGAGCTGCAGGGACTGGTCACTGCAGAGCTCACACCAGGGGCAGCAGGTCCCCCCGGACCGGCGCAGGGCCGCTGTTCCCTGCTCGGCCCAGGCACCGTGCGGCTCGTGGAGGTTGCTCCTGCCCAGGGCCCCA